ATTATCTGCAGGTGACATTAGATAACACTGAGCTTAAGCTGAAAGCTGATACGTTTATTTAATTTTATTCTTCTCTGTAACTAGTAAAAAAAACCCATCAAATGGACTCTGAATGACTAACATTAATTTAAAACAAATGAAGTTACCTAGTTGTTGAATAGAAGAGAAAGAAAAAGGGGAAAAGGGAAAGAGAGGCTGAAGAGAGAAGAAAAAAAGAAAGAAAAAAACACATAAGAAAACAAAATCCAAATCTTAGATCAAACCAACTGAGCACCCGCACGGCCTGTGAGTATGTTCCTTTCAGAGTTTCTCTTCCAATTTGTTATTTACAGTGGGTGCTTGTTTCAATTTACACTTAATTATATGGTAAGCTTCTCCAATTTACCGAGTAACTATAAAGAGGTAAGTAAAAGACAGATCCTTTCAACATTAGTAGAGCTGCAGTTGCTATAGTAATAAAACAGCAATTTATTCACAATTATTGCTTTCTACAAAAAATACTTGTTCTCCAGTTCTAACAAATCCTTGTATATTTTAGGTCTTGAAAGTGGGGGGGAGGGAAAAGGAAGGATGAAGAGTCTTTCAGTTTCCAGTGCTCTACTTAATATAAGTACTTCCTTTACACCTATATGCATCAGTAATATAAATATTGTATTATGTTTCAAAAGTTCCCAGACAGCATTCTGTGATTCAACAGAAAAGTTATTTATAAGCAGCACAAACAAACCATAATTTTTAAGCTATAAGCATTCAAACAGTTTTAGAAATATAAAGTTGCATTTCTTTCAGTAAGATATGAACCACTAACAGAACCAACTAAAATTATATACCTAAAAGCCTCATCCTTGAGAGAAAGACCAATCATATCACAGAATCATTGGAAGGACATGTAGTCCAACTCCCCACAACAGCTACATCAGATTGTCCAGAGCCTGGTTCAGCCTGACCTTGAATGTCTCCAGGGACCAGGCATCTACCACCTCTGTGGATAACATGTTTCAGTGCTTCATTATCCTTAATGCAAACAAGTTTTTCCTTGTATCCAACTTAAATCTTTCCCCTTTGCAATTGAAACCATTTCCCATTGTCCTATCACAACAGACCCTGATAAAGAGTCTGTCCCCCTCCTTCTAATAGCTTCCCTTCAGACAGTGAAAGGCTGTTAGCAGATCTCCCCAGAGCCTTCTCTTCTCCATGCTGAACAGCCCCATCTCTCTCAGCCTGCTCTTGGAGGGGAGGTGTTCCATCCCCATTTTTGTCTCTCCCCTCTGGACACATTCCAGCGGGTCCACATCTTTCTGTACTGTGATCCACATGCAAATGCTGTACTCCAGGTGAGGTCTCACCAACATAGAGTAGAGGGGCTAGGATCACCTCCCTCACCTTGCTGACCATGCTTTCTTTCATGCAGCCCAGGATACGGTTGGCTCTTTGGGCTGGGGGGACACATTCCTGACCCCTGAGGGGCACCACTCATCACTGGTCGGTATCTAAGTAATTTGCTCTTTTTAGGAAGTCCAGAGTTAAGAAGGATGATCTTCAATGCTATTCCTTAAGTGGAGCTTAAACTTACCTGACTTTTAAAGTGTCCTAATTATTGAAACTGAGTCACCACAGTTGCACCGAGTAACAGCAAACAGATAAAAAGTTTGATACTAGAATACTTCATCTCAGTGCCTCAGGGTATCAATTAAAGCTGAACAGCTACCAGCAGTACTTCCTAAGCTAAATTCTGCCATACTGAGTATCCCAAGAGCCATGTTACATAGGCTGGATGAGCTCTCCCAAAAATGGAGCTTCATGCTATGTAAAAACACGCATTTCTGGAGAAAATATTACATCCCTGGAAACCAACATGGAGCTATTCAACATTCATGAAGGGAACAACTACAATTAAAACAATGTTTTCAGATATATACAGTATACTTGATCAGCCTTGGAAATAAAACTATTAATTACTGAACTGCTACGATTTGTAGTAGAGAAATTTCATACAGAAAATTTTATAAGAGCCATAGAAAATAATGAAAACCAAGTCACAGGCACAAAAATCTAATGCTCTCCATAGCAGCTTAGAGCCAGGGCAGAACATAAGAGTTATATTTTCTGAACAAACTAGTAGGGAATCAAATGTGTTTCCTAATTTCCTCCTGTAGTTTCATTTCCAAAAGAGTTGTAACTATGTGCATTAATCTAACAATCCATCACTCTCACAAAATGTAGTAAATCCATCTTTGTAAAATACAAATTAAAGATCTAATTATTTTTTATTAACAACTTTTACTACAAAAATAGTTGTAAAACACCACAGCTAAAATTTGCTACGTGCAACTCCAGTCAGCATGCACATGTGTGTATGTGCATACATTTGCATATATATGTGTGTGAACGTATCTGCACAAAGTCCAGGAGACTATAATTCAAAAAACTTCACACTGGCTCCAGCAGGGTTAGGTCTCCAAATGCCACAATCATGCAGTAAAAGTTATTGGCTAAGAGCACAAAACTGGCACAGACATATGTGCAAGGGTCACCTTCCCTGAGCTGAAAAAACCTTACCTTTTTCACACAGATATGGATCACCCAGTTCCTGGTTTGGACTCAGCTCAGTAGTAACCTCTTTAAATGTTGCTGCATCATTCTGCACTGTGCAATGCAGACATCGTTGCAAATCACAAGAACGTACAGTTCGTAACCTCAGGATTGCAGCTTCAAGCTCTAAGATAACTACTCTGACCACAAAGCTCACCTAAACTACGGGGTGAGATGTCTCACAAACACTGAGAGGAAGCCCTCAGCAAAGTTAGCAAGAAAATTAGTGATATAAATTAATATATAGAAATTAACAGCACAAAGACTTACAAGACTGATGCTTACCCTCACCCGTATCTATCATCACAACACTCAAATGGTCTGTGAATTACATACAAACACAGAGTAGGGGTTGGAAGGGACCTTTAAAGGTCATTGAGTCCAACTTCCCTGCTAAAGCAGGTTCCCTACAGCAGGTCACACAGGTAGGCAGTCAGGTGGGTCTTAATTATCTCCAGAGAAAGAGACTCCTCTCTGGGCAGCCTGTTCCAGTGCTCTGTCACTGCAACAGTAAAAAAGTTCTTCCTAGTGTCAGTATGCAACCTTTTGTGATCCAGTTTCAGCCTGCTGCCCCTTGTTCTACTGTTGTTCACCACCAAAGGACTTACTGAAACAATCAGGCTAAGAGCAGAGTGCACTGATCTTCAGCGTAGGTATCTTTTGCATTGTATTTTGTATTCTCTTCTACATACCACTCATAAATAAAAAGACAATATCAAAAAAATCTATCAATGTAAAGACTTCAAAATGAACATCAGTGTTTTATTTTGATCCCTAGAGGGTAAGTTTACATAAGCAACAAACACAACAAGTTCCTCTGTGAAAATATGTCAGAGGAAATAAAACTAACAGCTCGTAAAAGCTCCACAGACTGGATCCTTCTCACTGGATGGTAATACCATACATTAATCCGTTCTCAGTAGAACTTAATGAATTTGTTTTATAAACTATCCTTAACTCAGCAAAGACATTGTGACCAAAGGTTTTGGTCACAAAACATGCTATTGAAAAACATTATTACTTGTCTCAAGATGCCAAAATGCTCACTTACCAAACTCACAGACATAAATAGGTTTTGGATGCATACTGGCTGCAAACTGCAGGTTGAGGGTAGAAGTGCGAAGACTCTTCCGACTGCCTCACTGTCAGTACATCCATGCTTGAAAGGGTGTTTATAGTTCTGTTCCATTAGCATTACTGAAAATCCAGTATTGTTCAAAAAGCTGTTCATTTTTGGACACATAAGCAGAGTCTTAAATACTCTGTTTTCCACTTACGTTAACTCACTAAAATTTAAGATCGCCTGCTCCACTTCTACAGGTAAGATCAAGCAGCAGCAATTGCTTCTGTGCTCTGCTCTCTTTCAAATAAAAGCAATTAATTCGGCCTCTATCGCTAGCTCAGGACATAGTAGACATTACAAAACAACTGCTTGTGTTGGTCATTAAGTCCTCTGTAAAAGGGACTTTATTCGGCCTGACCAAATTGCTATGGCTAGCTACATTCTGCATAGACATTATTTTTTTAATTTCCCTGAGTCCTAGAAGCAAATAGTAAGGGAGACTTCTTTCCCCTCATTCCCTTGTTGGGAATACCATTATTTGTCATGAAAATATAAATGGATAAGAAACAGTCAACAATGTCAAAAAGAAGCCAGTTCTCAATGAAGTACAAGTCATTTTTGGACTCCTTAAAAAGTATCCTGTGTCAGAGGATCAAGAGATAAGAGCAACCTCCTCCAAGCACTGCAGATGCTGAAATGTTTTATATAATGAAGCTCCATAATGTTGGGTATGAAAGAATAGCACAGCCTTTCATCACATTACTGTCCCAATCCAAAGACCAGTGTGAAGACAAAGGAAAAACCCCCACTGCCTTTGGTGCTTTAAAAGAATCATGAAAATCATTGTTGTTATTTTTAAATATGAATGAAGGTGCTTTTACCACTGAAAGCACTTTCCTCAGCCATTAATAATGTCTGTAGTATCTTTTCTAACTAGGACATCTGTTTACATAAAAAATGCAGTCAAGCATATTCCACTTAAAAACCAAAGTAGTTTTTGATGTTTTACATACACTGAACAGAGAAATGACTCTGAACTATCCCACACCTTAAATACACAAATACCTTAATCAGAGCAAGTGAAAATCACATATTCAAACGTGGGAGTCACTCAATCCACCCAACATGGTACCTTCACAGCAGATTGACAAATTTAATCTAAAATGGTTGAAGTAACCTTTACTAAACCACTCACGATCTTGACATTATGTTTGTCATTAAAATCAAGGTTGTAGTTATAAAAGGCAAAAGGTCGAGGCAAATACATACATCTGGAATTTTATAACTTTACTCCCCTGATTTGAAAATTGAAGATGTGTAAAATACTGTTAAGTCATTCACTTACCATGGATTTGGTGAAAGGTCGAGCCAAGGTAAACAGCAGGGTATACACCCACCAGTTACGATGAATGGAGGAGTAAATCATATTTCCAGGATGGACTGAGTTAGACGTCACCCCATGGGGAGAAAGGCGTCGGTTCAGCTCGTTGGAAAACAGTATATTGCAAAGTTTGGAACGATTGTAGGCCAACATAGCCCAGTACTCCTTCTTAGATGGAGAAAGCAGGCTGAAATCAAGTTTTCCAGAGGAATCTTTAATCTCTGTAAATCTGAAAAAACAGTAAATGTACCTTAGATACCCCAGAGTTAATTCTGCTCTCATTAAGAACAACATAAAACATAGATAACTGAGTAGAACTTGGCCAGAACCAAAATAAAATATCAGCTTATTTGGCAATTGCAAGTATCTACTGGAAACTGCTCAAGGCCCATGGAATAGCCCCATATATATAGCAGTAAAATTAGTGAATAATTAGCAGACACATATAATAAGTAAAAACAAGTTGAAAAAAAGGCTTTAATGTTTAAAAGCATTTTATGAACTTATGAGTTACATTCTTTTTAATCAAAAAAGGAAAATGTGCCATAGTTCCACAAAAGCACAATTAACGTGCAGGAATTAATGCAGAATAAAATGGAAGCAGAGAAAAACAGCATCCTTTCATTTAATCCGTTCCCCTGATTATTTCATCATATACTGAACACTTTCATTTAAGTGTTGAAGTAACCATGGATGAGTCTCACTACCTCTTAGACTCTTTTTTAGATTAAAAATTGATGAATATAAAGGGGTTATAACCTTGGCAACTCGCCATCAATAGTCTTATATGTTTAAAAGACAAACGTAAACAAAGCCAAAATGAGTTCTGGCAGAGTATAATGTTTTTAAGTATACCCATGGCATGGCTGAACACAAATCAAAGTAACTAGTTGATGTTTTTTAATTGGGTCTGACAGAGTCATTAAACACCAGCTGTTTGTTTCTTTCTCTTTTTCTTTCTTTTTTTTTTTTTTTTCTTAAATAAAGTAGGGAATGTTTTAAAGACTTTTAGATGAAGAGAAGGAATTTTTCGTATCATATATTTTGCAATTCTTACAATTTTGATGTATCAATTTACTAGATTATCTTAGTATCAGAAAATAATACTATATTTAGTTACAGATTCATGTTCCACCCAGAAGAGCTACTAAAAATAAAACAGATTTAGCAAGCTCTTTTTAATACTGGGTTTCAGAATCAGCTAGGGAGAACAGGGATAAACATTATACATTATAGTACACACTAGAAAAATGTTTTAAAATATCTTTACTAATTTTGCATCTCCTATCCAGAAATGAAGAGATCAGCTGGAATTTCTACTTCCATTTTGAGAGCAGGATTATAATACATTTAGAGAAAAGCAACTACAGTATTTGAACTCAAGAGGAACCCAGAATGTCCTTTATCTTGCAGAATAGGCCCTTCAATTTAAACAAACAAAAAAAATCATAATTTTTAGTTAGATAACAGACATCTCTGAAATTAACAGGGCTATTCTGGGAGGAATTTCCTATATTCATTCCTCAAGTAACCACTTAGGACACCAAAAATAATCTATAAATAAAATACTTAATACTTATTGTATACTGTACAATGGAAACACACGGGCATAATTTGAGTCCCATCCTTCAAGTGAGTCAATCTTACTTATGTCAGCAATCTCATTGAATTCAGTAGGATAAGGACTGTACAATCAAATTAACTACAGAAATAAAGACAGAAGGAAAGTCAACCTACTTATTATTCTGATTTTCATATGATGTGCTTAGAGTATGGAAAGCTTAATTTAAACAGATTTCATTTGTGTTGAATCCAGATAAGTGAAAAGAATGAGGAACCAGAGAGGCAAATAAATATCTTGCCTTGGAGCAGTCCAGTATAATATTTTCCACAAACGTGGGACTTTATTTTTCCCCTAACAGGGGGTCTTGACTCCAGCTAAAAGATCTAGCCAAGGTTTATGGAAGTAATTAGATACCAACACTTCTGTTTTACAACATAGTTTAAGGCACAGAGTTCTCAAGTAGGTCAGAAAGTACTACTATCCAATAATACCTAATGTCTAAACTAACTCCTTACATCAACTTCTTGCCATTAAACTGATTAGGGGCAAAACCAGAGTTATTTACAACGATCGTTTTAAATGCTAAGATATGACATGAATTGGAAGAAGGGGGAAATCAAGCAGATGTGTTGATTATTTTACTCAAGCATAGGCTGTTGCTTATTTTTTGACTGGCTTCTACAAACCTCAGTTGACCTAATGAAATTAGCAATGAACTCTTCAAAAAATGCTTTTGAAAAAACAGATAAAGATGTTCAGAGCTGTAAGCTCTAGTTATACATAACACTTAATATAGTGAAAAACAAAGATGTCACTTAAAATACCATCAGATGCAAACTTACAAAGGGGAACAAGCAGCTGACAATTCAACATAATCTCCCATTAAATAACAGCTCATTTATACGTATCCCATTGTGCCATCCACATCTGGCAAGTGATTGGACTTGGCAGATTTATTTCTAGAGCTATCTTGCCTGCCCTGCAGTAGCCTCCCTTACTCCTAACAGGACTCTGCTACTTGCTTTCACAGACCTGGTGTGATTTGCAAAGATAAGGATGTCCAGATTTTGTTACCACCTAATTACTAGACATTTCATGTCTTTTAACACCGGGGAGGATTATTACTGGCGTTTTCTATTGCTTCTTTCATTTCAGCCATCATAAATTTAAAATGGTAAAAGTAAATCTATCTGCAGTGTGTCATTTATACCATAAGCCCCTGTGTTTGGAAGTGATAAAGGTTTCAGCCTGACCCTTGGCTGGTCTCTCTCCACAAGGTCCCTGGGGTTGTATTTTATGGAAACATGATTAAAAAAATAAGCTTCATGCTGGGTCACTAAAACATTTCAGAAATATGAAGGCAGGGAAAGAGGAAAAAAAAAAAGAAAAAAAAAAAAAAAAGAAAAAACTCACCGCTCACACATTTTTTCTTTGGGTTTGCTAAAGATGTTACACACGACCAGAAGTGAAACAGAAATCAACAACAATGTTTAAAGCTAGACATTATGGGTCTAATTTTAGAGTTCCAGAACTAAATCAGAAGCCACAAGTTTGCACTCTCTAAAATTCAGAACTGGGGCCTCTATTTTGCACAAGGAACTCTCTAATTCTCTGATTTATATCAAAACCTTCTTCCCAGTTATTAAAACAAGCACTTCCAGCACAATTGAAATAAGGCAAACCTCATCACATCTGTTTTGCACTTCTCATGACAGTAGGAAATATGAGCAACTAATATTTTAATTAAAACTTTCACCAAAAGAGGCATGGCCAGTGTTCTAATGTGTATTAACTATACTATTTCCCAGTTACATTATACAGCTAATGTCTGCATTGAATTCCCTAATTTCTCATTACAAAACAATTGGATTTCATCTAGTAGTTTTTAATTGCATTGTTTCTCCTACTAAAATAACTGCACATTCTTCTTGGTAAGATGTTGAAGTAGTTGAATGACAAATCAATATAGGTCATGCCATTCAGATTTAATCAATTATTATTCCATCTCCTAGCGAAATCAATAAGTGGTCTGATATGCGGTGAAAATCTGCATTCATACAAAGAATGATCAAAAAATACCTACAAACTAGAGCACACTTTACATATGGCAATGTAGCAAAATCCAAAGACATTGGCAATGCTGTTTTTAAAGAGATTATTCAAACAACAAATGCTTTAGACAGGGGCCTTTCGCTTATAAGAACTTACACAGCTCTGCCATCACCATTTCTGCTGTAAGGATGGCAGATCTCAGCTAAACCCAAACCACAGCATAATGTTAACCAACCTGTGTGACTCTGAGGACACGACCACCACCCTGGCAGGGGAGGAGCGGCGCAGGACATCCTCCAGCAGCTGGACGAGATAGAAGTGCCCCAAATGGTTCACCTGGAAGGTGGACTCCAGGCCGTCCTCCGTCAAACTCCATGGAGCACCAAACATGGCGGCATTGCAGACCAGAATGTGAAGAGGCCTTGAACAATTAAAAGTACTACGGGTTAAAACTGTCTAGAGAAAGGTAGCTCAGCGAAATGCACTTAATTGAACTCCTGTGGCAATCAAGTGCATGCCATGGGTGCAGGTTTCTGTTCTGCAGGGCAGAGCTGTGTGAGGAGGGCAGGGCTGCCCGCTGCTGGTTCCACACAGAGCCCACCACAGGGCACTGATGAGGCACTCGGTGCCACTTGCCACCACTGGGATTTAGTGAAGAACTAAGTGCAACTCTAACACCAAAACACTGATATCATTCCATTTGTGTGGGTAGTAGCCTGTTCCAGCTTATTTCATCTTCACTGCAATGGATGAAATCCTGTGACAAACGCAAAATCAATCACCAAACATAAACCCTATGTTTAAAGATAACAAATGAAGCGCAGCTAGGAAAAGCAGCTGCTTGCCCTCAGTTCAAGCACTCCTCACAGCTCTTCATGAAGAAGAGAGGAGATCCAGCATCAGATCTTCTCCTTAATGGCTAAACAGGGCACACACTTCTGCTCCTGAACATCTGCAAAAGGAATTGTGGAAGAGATGAAAAACAAAGGCACAGATTGCCAAACAGACCTGACTGAATCTAGGAACCTTCAGGCACGTTTAAAAGCCCTGATTTTGATAGTCCAGATTTCAAAAACATTTCCAGCAGAATCATGCGCACCTTAGCTGAATGCTGAGATCTGTGCATCATCACTGACAAAAGCAGAAAACTACATGTCTTTATTAAACCGAATTTCAACTGTGACCTTGTTTGGAAGTTACCATCTGGCTTTAAAAGAAGTTAAGAATCTAATATCTGTACTTGTGCCAATTTCGAAAAAAAAATAACAAAAAGCTTCAGATGCAGGCTGAAACATCTTTGTGTTTTGGGAGCTTGTTTTCTGAAGTGCTGAATTTCTGGTTTTCCTTTTGGGCAGTGATACACATGTAATAACTTCCTATACGTGCTGCGTCTGCAAAACAAACTGAAGATAAAAGGGGACCGTTCTTTTAAAGGCAAGGTTTTCCCTTTCTGCTCAAACCACTTTCCACAAAGGTATTGCTTTTGCCGTCTCACTCAACGCTGCGCGATCAGGCTATTTGCTGGGGTACAAAAGACCGCATTTTAAGAAAGATCTCCAACTCTTTGAGGCATATTTTATCAAAATTCTTTAAACTCAAGTTCATCTTGCGTGTTCAAGATCCATCTGCCAAGAGGAAAACAAAGCCTCACGAAGGCTGAGAATGCACGTGGGGAAACTTCGGATGATTCATCATCTCTTCTGAAAGTTTACGAAAAGTTCTGGCAAGAATTAATTTACTGATTTGTAAATCTCCTGGGAAAAGGAACAAATTTCTTCAGCATAGATGCTGTTTTTGGTATACGAACTGGGGCATGCGAGTACTGCAGTAATGTAGAAAATATCATCATCGTTTCCTAAGAAAGCAAATGTGGCACATTTGGATAGAAAGATTTTAAGTTTACGCGATAATTGTACTACATAGTATGAAATAACAGACCACAGTTAGACAGAAAAGACCCACAAATGAAGCAATGGTATATTCTACCTATCCAGACTGTAATACCCTTCATTAATACTAATTACACAGTAACTACCAGAGGCAAAATATGTGCTCTATACCTAAATCTCCCAGCTCAATTAATTAAAAAGAGGATTCTAAAATTATAAAACTATAAAAGGTAGTCACTATTAAACTGTAAGTGCGTTAAATAGGGTTTTATAAAAGAAATAAAATTATGCCTCAGTCGTGAGCTTTTTATTTTCTGAATAATATTTTGTTCTATTTTTTTAATAAAGGTAATGACATTTAAAGAGACTGTAAAGTTAAAAATACTTACACTATCCTATTAAAAATCTGTGAAGAAATTTAAAAATGAATACAGACACATTTTAAGTAAGTATGCTAATGAAAAAGTAATACCTATATTTGTAATCAGTATTAGTGTTTTTAAATGGTTTAAAAGTGGTTTCTCTAGTAAATGTCACAGAAAAGAAACCTGAAGGGCTGTACCAGCAGCTACTGCTGCTGTGCATCATCTCCGCTCAGAAAGAACCACCTCTCAGGTCTGGATCCATCTATACAAAGCTATCAGTATCTCATATCTCACTGCTAGCAAAGGTCCAATTACTGAAAATTGTCACCTAAGTTTTTGTGATCTGGACATTCACACACCAGGAATGGAATGAGATTACATAGCTATTTCACATCACCTCTGTAACAGTCATAACATGGTTATGAATTTCAGCCACAGATGACAGATTCTAATCTCAGTGGTGCAGAGCTCTGTATCGCTGAACGTATCATTATGCAGGAACAAAATTCTTAAGATACTTGACAATTCACACCACACATCTGGCACTGCAGCTCTGCTTTATGACGGGAGTATTTTTAAGTGATAGCAGAACTGTGACCTTGATTTCACAAGTTCATTAAAAACACTGCTGTGATCTACATTAGGCTTCCTCCTGAGCCCAAAGGAAAAAAAAAAACACAAAACAAACAAAAAAAACCTCCTTGGTTTCAAGTAGTGCCTTTGATGTAGAATTACAAACAAGTAAGACTAACAAAAATATGTCATCAGTAATGGAAAATTTTCTTAGTATTGACATTACTAAGTGTGTTCCCTTTAACCGCGACGCCTACTTGATCTTTCTGGAAACTCTGTATAGTTAAAACCTTCCAGAGTGTTTTGCAGATTTACCCCTATGTCTCCTTAAAATGTCTTCAGTCAGTGACTTACATCACACCAAGTGAGCTAATGTGCTCTACCATTACAATTTAAGTATGTACTGGGAGTTGAACATAAGCTGCTCCACCATAGCATGTAGTCACTGTTTCTTCTCATTCACAGCATGACCGAGACTAGAGAATATACTGCTTAAACTGCAAGCTATGCAGCAATTGTAGAAAACTCTCATTGTGTTGGTAATTGTGGCTACAATTTACTGAAAGTTAAAAAGCATGTAGAATTAATAAGGACATTTTTAATTGTGAATATCTCAGTTAAAAACTACTGAATATCTTGTGCACTTCACAAGCCTGCGACACATCACTAACCCTACTATCAGGCAAGTCATCCAGATCTTGCATGCTGTGCTAAATTCACCATTAGAAGCTACAAAGTAATCCAACTGCTCCACATTATTTTAAAATACAAAAAGTTAATACATTAGAGAGATGCAGAAATGAAGTTGCTGCTATAAATCAGTTAGTTACAAAATGTAATAATCAATTGGGTTAGCACCTGATGTTAAATTATGATCTGCCAGCAGACTCCCAAGCCTGGCTATGTGCAGCAGTAGATATTTCCAAGGGAATTAATTACCAATGATTTGCAAAGGTAAGAATAATATTTTTCAACAAATGCAGCCCGTGCACTAGGAGGTTAAACAAACACCGCCAAAATGTCAACAGAGTTCATGGCTTTGGTGTTCTCCCATTGCAAATGCAATGAAATAGTTAACCAGAAATTATGCAAAGGGAATACTTTCAAATCTTCCCATGAAGCAGAATGTCACACCATCTGGGGCACTTCTCAAGTGATTTGAAAAGTTCACACTGTTTGGAATTACACTGAAATTCAACAGAAAAGGTTTTACCATATCCCCCAAGTCCCATAAGCAACTGTAGACCTATGTCACGGCCAGTAAAGAAGGCAGAGAGATGTGACTTCTCTTCCATAAGGAAGCAAAGTCACAGCTCACCACATTTTTCCATCCCATAACTCTGAACACCCAGGTTGCTTCCTCGCAGAGCTAGAAAATGCAAGTACTTCTGTGAGGAAATGCCTATATTCACAAAAAAGGATAACCAAAATGCAGTCATACGGCTCCCCAGAAAACAAAACAGAACAAAAATGAGTTAAAAAATCATCTCCAGAAATTTCTATCAGTCATACAAGAAGCAACAATGGGAAAATGAGCGACAAGGAAAAGGCTAAAAGTCAAAGAGCAGCAGGAGATCTTGGCACCACGTATGATCTAACGTCCACTCAAAAATATTTACTACTTTGATGAAAATCGAAACACACACAAAAAAGCACCTCTTAAATATATGAATTCTGAAAATGAATGCTTAATGCATTAACTTCCCGTTTTCTGAGAGCACTGACTGAAAAGATACCAAAAATAGCTTCTGTTGCCACCTGTCAGCTGACAGAATAGTGGATCCTTGTCAGACAGGCTTCATTCTAAGTCAAGCTACTAACAGAACTTAGAGCCCTGATGGATGACCTCCAGCTATAAGCAAGTAAAATTCTCTCAAATTCTTCCAACTGGGTTTCTTTGCAGGATTTGACACTGTTGATCAGCAAACACTTCTGCCCCATTTCCAAGAGATTAATGGGAATGGACTGAAATTGTTCTGCTTCTCTCTTCATATCTAATACATGGGAATTACGAGCAGCTGCTCCTATATGTTCATAAAATATCATCTACATAATGCCATATAGGTCAACCATCTCTCAATCATTATTAATTACCTCTATAAAATCTTGAGTGCACAATTTCATAAAAGTTTGGAGAAGGAAAAAGGGTCTCAGTAGATTTAGATCTAAACAGAAAGCATCCATTAGTCCCGGTTTTCCCTGTATTAATTTTGAAAAAGACTTTTAGCATTAAAGTGATGAGAAAGTTGGAGAGGCCCCTACTTTTCCATTCAGTGTAGGTGCAAAAGCAATTTCCACTATTGCAAAAATCTCAATTTGAATTTCTGAAGAGAAATTTAGACCCAATAAATATATATTATATTTATTTATATATTTATTATATATTTATTATTTATAATAAATAATATTTATTATTATTATAATATTTATATAATATTTATTATTACATTACAAATGTTTTAGATGTTAATGTTAAAGGTATAAATATATATACATATATTTAATATAATATATATATTATAAATATATAATGTTGCCATCAAGCGGACGTTATGAAAACCTACACTGCCCAAAGTGTTTTCCCATAAAAAAGA